GGATTTCATTTGCTTCATGACAGTATATGGATTATACTTCCAATCTGCTACTACAGTCTATGGCTACTACCTTGAAAGTGTCATTGTTTTTGTTTTTAGTATAAGCTCCAGTGGCGCAATCGGTCAGCGCGCGGTACTTATAAGGCCTGTTTCACACCGCACACGAATTCGTGAACGAATTCGTCTTCGAAACCCGCTCGCGTGCATTCGCAAGCTGCGCTTCAAGTCGCGTCCTGTTGTGCAAATGAGAAAGCTCTTCTGTGTACAGACCGGCGCTGAGGCGGCGCGCAGGGAATCGGCTCGCGCCGCTGCCGCCTCCGCTCCTGAAACCAAAAATGGAACTCGAGCGCATTTTTTCCGCGTGTAGGCTGCGCAACGAAGCGGCTTTCAGCACGAAAATATTCAAAAAATAACTTTTATAAAGCAATTTCACGTTTATCTAATCTCATTATTGTAATGCATAAGTACATATAAGTTTATTCTTTTAATTACACAATTTTCCATGTCATACTTTTTTTTTATGCATACAATATAATTGTAATTTCAAGGCGACATAACAGTTCTATTCCAATCTTATAATTATTCTAGTATTTCTTTAGTATTAACCAGGAGATAGAAGTATGCGTGTCACGTGACATGATGTGACACTGCGGAGACTTCTTTCCTTTCACGAAAAAGAAAGCACATGTGAAGATGGATGACATACGCATCATCGAGGCCGTGGAGGGCTTCCCCGAATTGTATAGTAAAGGACACCCAAACTACAAAGATATTCGAAAGAAAGAAAGAACCTGGCAGGTATTGGAGCCATGCTAGGTTTAGACCGTATGTATTGTGTTCACAACATCGCATGCATAAAGTCGAACTCCAAAACAGTGAAACAAGTGATTGTATTCATGTGATAGGAGGGCACACGCTATTTAAACCGCTAATTAGCAAATATACAATAAAATATAACTTTAAAAGCATTAACTTTGAATAACAAAAAGTAAACTTTTTTTAAAAGTTTGATAACAAAAGAAGTATGTGTTTTATAGATAAGATATGTATTTATTAGTGACCAAAAAAATGTAAATGAAAATACAAAAGAAAAAACAGAAGAAATTAACAACATCAATGTAATACAGCTATTACGGTTTCAAATAGAAAGCATTTAAAATATGCGTTTACTACAAAGGAATAAGAAAGAAACAGTATACAGGCATTATGTTTATATACAAATTTAAAATGCCAAGTAACATTTACTTTTGTAATTATAATGCCTATTTAATCGGCATGTGGGAGGTCTCCTGCTGCTGACTGGAAATAATCAGTGAATCTCTGTCTTACTGAGGCAGCTTCTTGGCTTGGTCTATGGCCACCCATCTCTCCAACTGACCTACGCATGCACATTTGTCCCTGGTTAGACTCCTCCAACCATCTTCGATTGTCTGATGGATTGCTTAAATAGTTGTGTAAGATGCAACAAACTACAACAGTTGTGTCCACATGTTCTAGTGTCATGTTTATCTTTGTGAGCAGCACCCTCCAACACCACACTATGATAATGAAACGACAATCAAAATAGGCTATAAGATACATTATAAGGAAATGTTAGCAATTTATTTAAGGTCTACATGTGCTATTTTGATTTCTGACCTGTTATATCAGACAACATATGTAAATATACAACATGTTTATTAGTTTGGAGTACAATACTACTCCTTTTGTGCGTGCTACTCGTCTAGGCGCTTCGCCCACGCTCGGCGTCAGTATGAATACATGCGCTCGCCGCGAGGTAGTTCGGCTGGAAAGGGCGCTCGGCTCTGCGCTCGGCGTGCGGTGTGAAACAGGCCTAAGACAGTGACCTGCAGAGTGATGCCGAGGTTGTGAGTTCGAGCCTCACCTGGAGCATGACTAGTTTTGAGTTGATTACTCTACATATGGTCAGCAGTACATAAAAGACCCTGGCACAATACCCACACTGCACCCTACACACCTTTACAAAGTGTGCATTTGTTTCAAGTGCACGCAAGGGTTTGAGTGCGCAGTGCAGGTTACGTGATCGACTAGTCAATAGTTGGTCATCTTCCTAAACCTAAACTTTATAAAAATTAAAGGTAATTTCGTCCGACCCTGTGGGAAACAGAAGTAGAGTTGCTCAACACACGTTAAAATATTTGTATATTGGTTATTCGTAATTATAGATATAATTTTAAGTTAAATGTGGGTAACTGTTAAGTTTTTATCCTAAGTTTATTGTACTAATTGTAAAGTTTAAATTGAACGTTATATGATTGCATTAAAAAAGTTAGGGAATTGTTACCATAGAATGTCCTTAATTATTTTATATTTGTGCTTCTTTCCATGTAACATAGCAAAGGGGGCAGGGCGAAAGACCTCCCTGGAGAAGCACTCGCAACCATCGTCGAGAACGCGCAAATGAGGGGCGCGAGGGTGGAAGTGCGAGTATTGGGACAGGGCCATCTGACACGAATGTTGAGGATGACTAGTCAGGCTAGTTTTTCCCCTTTGGGCCATTTCTTGTACCTATATTAGTTAAATGCATGTTCCAGTGGCACACATGTCAGCACGCAGTACTTTAAAGACAGTGATTCGCTGAGGTTGTGAGTTCAGCAAATCACTATATGTGTTGTTTACATATAGAAATACTTACAGGTGAAGTCGTTCAAACTACACTGACATGCCCTCAGCCTACAATATATGATTCCGCAATCAGACTGAGTTTAGAGTAAGTACCTGTTTAAGACCTTCTTCCTAGAAAGGCATCAAGGAGAGGAATAGTTAATAAATACAAAGTAAATAAGAATTGAGACGCACTGTGCACCAGTCGGTCATGACCACAGAGGGACAATCTGTATTGCTTAGGTTTAACTATCTGATGCCTGCCCCCTTACTTTGCATTTGGTCAAAAAAATAATACTAGGTATAGGGGTATCTCAGAAACACTTGCCCTGGACATCGCCCCCTCATCAGGGCTTCTGCAAGAGAGAAGCCCTTCAGTTCTCGCTCAAGCGAGCCAAGGCCCGGATCCTGAACAACCGAGCCAGCCAAGATGCCGTGGTCACACAGCACCTAAAGCTGGAATCTAATTGTGTTCTGGGCCAAGTCCCGCTTCAACGGGGCTTCAGGTTGTGCTTGTGGCCACAGCCTTACTTTGCAGAAATACACAGCATGGGAGGCTGAAATAGCGCGGCCTTAATGGCCAAAATGTCGACAAGTACTTTTTTTGGTTACACTTCTTTCATGTTGAAAGAGGCTCTAGTGGCACAATCGGTCAGCGCGTGGTACTTATAAGACAGTGAGCTGCAGAGTGATGCCGAGGTTGTGAGTTTGAGCCTCACCTGGAGCATGACAGTTTTTAATGTATGTTTTTATATATATATATATATATATATATATATATATATATATATGCTTCAGGTTGTGCTTGTGACCACAACCTTATTTGCGTTTGGTCAAAAGAAAAGAAAAACAATTTGGGCAGCTGACATAGCTCAGCCTTTATCTCCAAGATGTCTTGGATGTTCTTTTACACTGCTAAATGCTCCAGTGGTGCAATTAGTCAGCCTTATAAGACAGGGACCTGCAGAGTGACGCTGAGGTTGTGAGGTGAGCCTCACTTGGAGAATGAGAATTTTTTAATAAAATGAATTATTTTGGGGAATGCCTTCAAACTACACTGACTTTATCTCCTTGTCTTAGAAGTTGATATTCATATTGCAGTTTTTCAACAAAAACATTTTATTTTACAAGCCATTTCCAATGTGTAGAAAGCTCCAGTGGTGCAGTCGGTCAGTGCATGGTACTTATAAGACAATGATCTGCAGAGTGATGCTCAGGTTGTGAGTTCAGGCCTCACCTGCAGCATTAGACATTTTAATGTATGAATGTGTTGTTTAGATAGTCAGCAGCAACTACACTGAGCTGCCCTCAGCCTACAATATATGATTCAGCAATCAGAGTATAGAGTTAGACTTAAGTAATTTCTTCATACATTTCCTGTGGAAAGCCATCAAGAAGAGGAATAATAAATGAATACAAAGTAAATAGGAATTGAGATGCACTGTGCACCAGTGGGTCATAACCAAAGAGAGACAGTATTTGTTGCTCAGGTTTAACTAAATACACAGAACAGGTGGCTGATATAGCTTCGCGTGTATCTCCAAAATGTCTTAGATGTTTTATTTCCACTTCTTTCATTTTAAAAAAGGCTCCAGTGGCGCAATCGGTCAGCGTGCGGTATAAGACAGTGACCTGCAGAGTGATGCTGAGGTTGTGAGTTCGAGCCTCACCTGGAGCATGAGGAGTTTTAATGTATATGTTGCTTGCGCTCAACACACACAGAATAAGTCATTCAAACTGCACTGACATGTCCTCAGCCTATGATTATATATGATTCAGCAATCAGACTGAGTTTATAGTTACACCCAGTTCAGGAACTTATCTCTGCAGAAAGACATCAAGGAGAGTAATAGTAAATACAAATGAGACGCACTGTGCACCAGTGAGTCATGACCACAGAGAGATACTGCTCAGATCTAACTATCTGATGCCTGCCCCCTTACTTTGCATTTGGTCAAAAGGAAAATAAAAATGTAGCATGGGCGGCTGAACTAATAAATAAAAACAACAAAATAAAGCAGAATTTCAACAAATATTTAAAAAAAAATAAACAAATTGAATGACATTTTTTTAAGGAATGGGAATAGGAATTGTTAATTAATGGTGCTTCACACCTTTTCATTTTCTAGTAGGAGGCACTTGAAACCATAAAGATTAAAATAACAGTGACAATAACGATGGAGACATTTTAGTACAAACACAATTTTTTGTTTATATTATAACAATGACTCTTTACTAGAGTTTAAACAAACATAGAGTCTGATCAGTTCTAATATTAGAATCTGCTCCCTGCTTGGAAACATGTGATAGGAGTTAACTCCTAATTGGCCAAAGAACCTCCTGAGTACAAACTGATAGAATGAATGGACACTTACCGCACAGTCAAGATACGGGCTTCTGACTTCACAAAAATAAAAAAAACTATATGATTTAAAAGTTTTGTTGTCTTTATATTGATTCCACAAAATGTCCAATCCTTCCGGAAAATGAAGAATTTAGATTCAGTTAAAGTGGATAAAGTCTTTGTGAAACAGTGGCGCGAGTTGTTTTGGTGGTGGTCCGAGAGCAACTGTGTCCCTGGACCCTCTGCAGGACTGAAATAGCAGGGGACAAGAGATATTATTAGAGACCGGGTATTGGGGCAGTCCCCTTGTCCTGACTGACAACCAGAAGCACACTGCCTTCTGGCGGCCACATTGGCCTCAAATACAAATGGGAACTTCTCTGTGTTCATTTGACTGTATTCTGTCAAAGTTCTATCTTCATTTTGGATTTAACCTAAAAAAATTTAAGTTGAATTTGAAATTTTGGCTCAAAATAAGTATAATTTTGCTGAGAAATAAAATGACACTCATGCATCACAGCAGGTCTTAGGTTCAATTCCTGGGCCAGATGCGGCCTTACTGTGTGGCATTTGCATGTTCTCTCATCTGTGAGTGGTTTTCTTCTGTTTCCCACTAAAAACGTGTATAATGAGTACGCATGAACAGAGGGTGATTGGTCTGGCTTGGTGTGTTAAAAGTGCAATGTCAATTTTGCTTACAATGAAATTAAATATAGTGTTTATTACAATACAATGAATTACAAAAATCACACATTTCCATTTGATATCAAAATTTGGATACACCACCTTTAATGTTGTGGCCTCTTTAATGTTCATGTTTATTTTGTTCATCCATATTTATTTTTATTAATATATACAGTCTATGACATAGGTGTCAAAGTCAAGGCCCGGGGGCCAGATCCGGCCCGCAAGACCATTTCCAGTGGCCCCTGAGATTATTTTAAATTATTATATTAAATAGCAGCATTGATGGTATTAAGTGACAGTGGCATGTTATCCATTACTAATTTTCACAAGAAAACAACCATAAAATGTAATTCCATAAGAAATGTTAAGCCAACATGCAATTAGAAATAGTATTGTTATGAGTCTTCAATTACATTTCTTCTTAAAGATATAAAGGAAGATTTCCCAATTTTCTTAGGAAAGAACCGCCCTCTCCACTTTATGAACAAAACTCTGTGGTCTTTTCACCAGAATGATTGACAGTTGGGAGGACCAATAGTCTTAATGATCCACCCGGAAGTAGAAAATCTTCCTATTTACCTTCAATATTTGGTCCAGTTTTGGTTCAGTTTTGGTTCAGTTCACAGGAACTGAACTAATAATAATCAGAAAAGAAAATCCAATCTAACTAATGTGAAACAAGTCATTTATATAAATACCTTCATATTATAAAAATGGCCCTCAAGTTTGACACCCCTGGTCTATGATATTTATCCTGTGTAACTGCGTCTTTAAATGAATCCTGTCCGTCTCTCAACTACATTTCCCAGAATCCTCGGGAGTTCATGTGTTTTTTGGAGCAGAGCAGCGACAGTGGTAGTAGTAGTAGTAGTGATAACAGTAGCAGTGTCGGTAGTAACAGCAGTAGTTTATCTCCAGACTTGTGAAGTGAGCAGGAACGTGTTCTGTGTACTTCCATCTGAGCACGAGACATGTGGGCCCGGAGCGCACGCGGGAGCCGGGCGGCGAGGCTCGTGCTGCGGGGGTCGCTCCAGAGACAGCCCTGGAGAGAAGCGTCCTCTGCGGCCGAGGTGAGTGCGCTGTTGCCCGGGTCACTGACTCTGCTGTGCGGGGACCAGTTTGAGGAGTTAACAAACATTATTCAGATATCTATCTCCGGTAAGATCCACTTCAAACACGCGGTGCAGTGATTTATCCTCCAAAACAAACTCTTGTAGTTGCAGATCACTGTCACATTATTGCATTATTGCTGATTGGTTTATGCAACAGCAGCTGAAACTTCTCTCTTTTGAAAACATGTGACTTTGCAGTGTTCCTTCCTTAGTGGAGAACTGCAATGCAAACTATAAACTTTTAAGACTATTCATTATTTACCTGCTGTACATTGTCATCCTAAAAGCTGACCCAATGTACAAAGCAAATACATACATTGCATATGAGTATTATGTGATGATTCTCAATCAGACATAAAAAAAAAGAAAAGTGTCTTATGTAATAATGGCCTGAATCTATGGGAATAACTTTGACGTGTGTTGAACCAGGTCTGAGGAGTGGAAATCTGCTATTAACCTGTCAGCACTTGCCCATTCAATAATCATAAAATCATATTACTGACAAACTGGTCCATTCCATGAGCTGACTGAGTGTAGCGTGTGCCGTGACTGTGTGGTGCCAAACCTCTGCCAGTCTGCCCCAGGGCAACTCTACCACTGAGGAGTTTGATTTACACATTCATTTGCACATCCATTTACAGCTGGACAGGTTTTAAGTTAGATAGATTGCTGTAATAATTAAACTATAGAGTTTCATTTATGTGTTTTAGATTAGGGCTGTAAAAAAATTAATGGATTATTCATAACTAATTAATTTGTTAAAATTTAAAAATTGCCAAACTCATTTTAGTAATATACTATTCGTTTTTTAGTAATGCTGTTAAGTTTTTTGAATCCAACCCAGTTGTATCTACTGCAGAATCCAAAGAGTGTATATTAATCAAACAATCAATTTTGTTTAAATGTCTAAAAAAAATTGATTCTTTAGGGTTAGGGATTATCTTGCATTCAAAACCATTTCATAATCCCATATAATTTCTGCTGGTCAGACAACAATCGATCAAAATAATCTTTAATTACCAGGTTTTTCACAGAGAATACACATTATAGAGATTATTCCACTCATTAGGTTTTCTCTTTAGTACCAGTCAAGCCTGTGACAATAAATACAGCTGATGAATGGCTTATTCTCACCACCAGCCCAAAGTTTTAATATTATCATTGATATTGTGTGACATGTGACTATGAATACTTGGCTGAAAGCACTACTATAAATCTCTCATAACTGTATTGTTGAAACAGTCTTATAACATATGTATTTTTCAGTTTCTCCCATGCTGTGGTCTTCTAATATATGCTGACTTTGAACTTGTAACATATCCCATGATGCACTGCAGCAGAGTCCTTTATTCTCTGATAAGCCCTTTTCTCCCTCAGGTTGAACGGTCAAAGTTTAGCTAAAAGAACAGGACAGAAATCAGATAGTACGACACACACAGATTTACTACAGCCACTGATATGGCGGCGGAGGCTTTGTTATTACTATTAATAGCTAACACACTGTCCACTATTTCTAGTACTTTTGGACTGGAGCAAAGTTATGAAGACACTAAAGAATGGTTATAAGTGTAAATAGTTTCTATCAACTTCTAGGAGCTCATAAAAAGTAGAGTGTTGATCATTTTTTCCTAAACAAGGGTTCTCATTAATTATCAATCCAGGTGGTGCTAAACTGTGTGTGCAAAGTAATAGCTTGTGCAATTTCCCTGGTTTTGCACAAGCCATTTTACTACAGTACATGTGTAGTAATGAGTTTGGGGTGAGAACTTTTGTATGTGATCAAACACTTGATAAATGAGGCCAAAATAAGAAAATGCACAAAGTAACCATGTTGCTGCCAGAGCAAAAGCGCACCAAGTGTGGTGTGCAGTGAGCCGGGCGGCTGAAGAGCCCTGGGCTTGGCCATCTGGGCCACCTCATTTTCTTGAGCAAACTAGCCTGGGAATACCCATACTGCTGTGCGCTTGAACTGCACAACACCCAAAATTGTCCTATTACAGACCCCCATTGAGAATCCCTGCACAAGAGGTGAAGGATTCACATGCAAAGCTACACATACAACATTTTCCACAAATAGAAAATCGGACCCAGTGACAGTTCCTGAGTCAGACATCAGCAGTAGTGGTCAGCTCTGTGTGCCTGTGCGCCTGTTCACGTCTTTCCTCTCGTGTCCTCCAGGTGGCCCTGAAGAAGACCCCTCTGTTTGAGTTCCATCGGGCCAGTGGGGGTAAGATGGTGGAGTTTGCAGGGTGGAGCATGCCGGTGCAGTACACAGACAGTCACATCAACTCACACATGCACACGCGACAGCACTGCTCCATCTTTGACGTCAGCCACATGCTCCAGGTAGGTTTTATTTTTAAGATTGTAAAAATGTATAATTTGTATACTTGAAGACAGATGATGCAAAGAAAGATAAATGAAATTCTCATCCTTTTTATATTTAAGTGTCAATTTGTCTGTTTTTGTCTAGACCAAAGTCCACGGCAAGGACCGGGTGAAGTTCATGGAGTCTCTGGTCGTTGCAGATGTTGAGGAGCTCAAAGATAACCAGGTCAGACTGCACCACACAGAGAGAAGTCATCTTTAAAGGGCCCATATCACGGTTTTCGACTTTTCTCTGCTTTAAACATGATTACAATGCTATTTGGCCTTCATACACAAGCCCACAGTAGTTTATTCATTGATTCTGTCAATCTTTTGTAAGAGAGCAATCTGTCTCCTTCCCCAGCGTGAGGCACAGAAACGCTCGGGTCCACTTCAGTGACGAAAACCACACTGATGACGCGCATGACCCCGTTTGCTTTGTATTTAAAATAGTTGTTAAATACTTTTGTCAAAACGGGGTAAACAATACACAATTAGTATGCTGTTTTTTGTCAAAAATAATAAAAATAAAAATAAATTAAAAGCCGGCGGGAGGTGATTGACGGATCAAAACAGCGAATCAGAGCACACAGGCTCCGGCTCCAGAGTCCAGCGTCTGTGGTCGGGTCTCGCGGACACCACATAGAGCTGCTGTTTTTATGCTTTTGTCTGCGACTAAAAGTGTTAGGATCACGTCAACTTGAATGAAGTGTGTTATGGGTGTAAATATGTGACACACTATTTGGCCCTGAGAGGAAGAAAGCGGCTCGACTTTTTTCATCTGTTCATCTCAAGGATCTATTATAATACCGGTTCATCTGCGACACTTCACTGAGACTGTTCCAGAACTACAGGGACAATGGAACTGGACTTACTCAAAAGCTGATCTGGAAACACGTTATTCCCACGGTAAAAGACGTAACTCGGACCCCCTCGATCTGTAAGTAGTGACGCTAACTCGCTGTATACTTCTGTAAACTAAATAACTAGGGTGTGATTGTGCATCGAGGACATAGGGCTCGATGTGACGGATTGTCATTGTTGGAAAAAGTTTATTCTTATGTATGAAATTACTAAGTACAGGTGATAAACGACAAAAGCGTGATGCTACGTCACCGTGCGGGCGGGGGGAGGCGGGCTCACAGGCAGAGGAGCAGACTCTTCTCTGGATCAGCTCGATTGAGTCGAGGTGACGTCACCTCTATACAAGAGATGGCTCTAATCTCACAAGCTTTGATTGTTGTGTGGTGTATCATACACATTAATATAACACATGTGTATAGGATTGAGTGTGAAACATGAAGAAAAGCGTGATATAGGACCTTTAAAGGAGACCTAACAAAATGTACATTTCACAGACTATGACTGTGTTTTTGCTGCTCCCCTATCATTTCAACTCTTTAGGTGTAGTGTTTAGTGTAATTCATGAATGTTTAGTCATTTATAATCTCCTTTAACGAGACCTCTGAGACACATCCTTTCTACTACTTGCTTACGTTGTTCACAAACTTTCAAATCTGTGATACAGGGAGGATTTGGTAGCGCTGCACTGGTAATTGCTCAATATTAAGGTGGTGGTCAGAGGGGCTGATGGCACATACTGGTTGCCTCGCTTCTGTCAGTGTGCCCCATGGCAGCTGTGGCTACAATAGTTGTTTATCATCAGTGTGTCTAGAGTGAAAGTAAAATGACGTGTGAAGCGTCTTTTGAGTGTCCAAAAAATCCCTATATAAAACCGATGCATTATTATTATCATTATAAACACTTCCAGGTTGACTATGTAAAAGACTTATTCTAAAGACTGTAAAAATGGGGTTGGGTTTTTCTTTTAACTGATTTACCTCACATCTCTGCAGGTAGTTATAGCTCAAGAAAGGAACATGACAAATTTGCATTCAAAGGGTGCGTTCACACTTGTTCTGGTTCACTTTAGCTGCACCGCCAACAAATTTAAACTGACTTAAGTGACTAGCAGATACAGTTTCACTTTGGTTTGGTGGTTATGTGTTCACATATAAAGCCTCCACAGATGTGACAGAATCAATGTCATACTTTTGACTAAGCTCTATAGATCTCCATAGTCACAAGCAGATGTCAGACCTTCCCTGTGGCAGCAAGTGGTGTCATTAAACACAGATTGTTTGTTGGTTCTTCAAGGGAACGCTGTCTCTCTTCACCAACGATAAAGGAGGGATCATGGACGACCTGATTGTGACCAAAACTGACCAGAGTTACTTGTACGTGGTTTCTAATGCAGGCTGCTCCGACAAGGACTCTGCTCACATGAAGGTAATATGTTTACAATTATACCTGTACTTGTACTGCAACTACAACTACTGCTACTACTGCTATGAAAAGCTATAACTTTTATATTGTTTTTTATTAAAACCCCATTATTTTTGTTTGGACACAACAGGTTTTCTTGAGTTTTAAGTCTCAATTTATGTGCAACTAACCACAACAGTGCAGGTATTGTAGTTTTGCAGTCATGAATGCAAGTTTTGTCTACAAACTTTTCTCTGAATACTAAAATCTTGTAAAACTTCAGAACATCTATGCTCTAATATCACTTTTAAATATATTTCTCACCTATACTTCCACTACCGGACTGACTTTCAAATCATTTGTGTTTTTTTAGGCCAAACTGGCGGAATTCAAAGCTGCCGGTTTTGATGTTGATCTTGAGTTTTTAGAGGATGCTCTGATAGCTGTTCAAGGTTTGTTTCGAGACATTTATATTTTTCCCGTACAATGATGGACTGTCTTTATTGAATCCTTAACTGTTGTTTTTTCAGGTCCATCCATGAAGCGAGTTCTCCAAGAAGGACTGAAGGAAGATTTACAGAAACTGCCCTTCATGTTCTCAGCGCTGACAGCAGCATTCGGAGTGCCCTGTAGAATCACCCGCTGTGGGTACACCGGCGAGGACGGGGTGGAGGTGAACTACTACTGCACAGACACAGTGTTAATGCCACTGCTGCTGCTGGAGCTGAGCGATGTTGTGGGATCTGGCCTGTCCTCAATATTCACCTGATCTTTAAACAGTCATTAACCAATTGGACTCAATTGAAAGATTTTTAACTCGTAGTCCACACAGTTTTCTTTCACTTGCACTTTTCCACTTTTTTCAAGCCCAGAGCGGAATTGTGCTGCCAATATGAGCTAACATAAAAACAACTGTTTTCTATTATTTTAATCTGTGAGTGATCAATTTGAAATTCAAGAGCAGCTTTTACAACATATGTGCGTTGGAGTGAAGCTAACGTTTCTCAACAAGTGGCTGTCCTGCCACTTGTCACATGTTCAACATATTGTACTGGAACTTCAAAACCCACCCAGGAGCAATCACTTTTGATGGAATGCTGAAATGTTTGCTAGAGTTATTGTTCATAGAGTTATATCTTGAAGTCCTGTTACTAAAGCTGCTCCTACTATTTAATTATTATTTGAAGAATACGGTTATGAATACAACTCCCATGTGTTTTGCAGATTTCAGTACCCAGCTCGCGTGTGGTGGAACTCACAGAGAAGCTGCTGTCCAACCCAGAGGTGAAACTGGCCGGACTTGGGGCAAGAGACAGTCTGCGGCTGGAGGCAGGACTCTGTCTCTACGGCAACGACATTGATGAGACCACCACACCTGTCGAGGCCACACTTGTCTGGACCATAGGTAATAATAATGTGCCCAATGTCAGACGCCACTATGGACTATCGCTTTATCAAAGGCCAATTTTATTGGTAATTTATTTCTATTTATTTCCACTATCAATGCCAGTATAGTGCACTTTATATTTATAGCTCTTTTCATTTTTACTCTTCTAACTTTGAGCTGCAGAAACCTACAGCCTTACAGTTTCACAAGATGTATTTCTCCATACTGCAGATAAAATGGCTGTTTAATTGTCCTTGAAAGCCTTAACATTACATTACATTAGGTTACATTTGACTTTTTGCCTGGCTTAAGAGGCTGGTCTAAGGTAGTGATAAAATTCTTGTGATTCATAAATTTTTGGGTGGTAAAAGAGAGGATATGTATTTAGTCCATTGAAATTGGTTCTAGTTTTAAAAAATGCTTTTACAAAATAAACATGCACTCAATGTCATTTTCAATCTGCTCCGTACACATGCTTTTGATCCTAATACGATCTGATTATTATAAGGGGCGACAGTAGCTCAGTTGGTAGAGCATTGGCCTTAAGGCCAGAAAGTCGTGGGTTCAATTCCCACCTCGGCACCTTCTCCATCGACTCCCACTGATGACTGCTGTCGTTGTGTCCTTGGGCAAGACACTTAACCCCACTTTGCCCAAAAGCCTCCACTGAAAGATCAAGGCTATGCTCACACTCAGTGAGCAGCCGCCCTCCTGTGGACTCACCACCTGCAGAGGGTCAGTGAGGGGCTGGTGCTATGAGACTTGGGTGGCATCTCTGACTGCCACCCCCCTGACCCAGAAATGGATTAAAAGGGTAGAAAATGGATGGATGGATGGATGGACGATCTTATTATGTGTAATCAGTGCATTAAGAAAGTTGCTAGAACGCAGCATATGAGTTGATCTGGTGAGTTTTCTCTGTAGATGCTCAGACACACTCTTATTAATGTCAAGTAAAAATGTTCAGTACTTTAGTAATGTATGGGGATACACGCCTCACTCATGGATCACATTAACTTGATCCCCCATGAGCCTATGCGTTTGCAGGTTCTGGATTCAACTGTGTATAATATGTAAACAGAATATACGTGGCCTTGTTTCTCTGTGTAGGAAAGCGGCGCCGTCAGACCAAAGACTTTCCTGGAGCTGACATCATTGTTCCTCAGATTAAGAACAAAACTGCAAAGAAGAGAGTGGGTCTGGTCTCCTCTGGTCCACCTGTTCGACCACACACACCCATTCTCAGCACTGACGGCAAAGTTATTGGTAAAAGAACATTTCATATAATTTTATATGCATTTATCCATTGGTTCAGACGCTTAGACTGTACTGGATATAGATGGACATGTCTAACCTGCTAGCTCAATTAAACCTAAAAGTGCTCATAGACAAAATGTTGCTGCAATTTGCAATGGCGCCTATTGACTTGCATTTAAAAGTAAACCCATGCGATACAAACAGTGTCACAGTCACCATTTTGGATTCAAAATCTTTGGTTTGCCGGTCTGTATGATCGGTCTGTTTATATTGTGATAGTTCATTCATTCATTCATTGATGCATCTGTTCCCAAATTCGGTTAGAACTAGCTTTTTGGTTGCAAGGTTGTTACCTACATCATTTGGCTCAAGATTACTTCCCATAGAGCATGTTTGACGTTTGTTCCACGTTATGACGCTATGGGTGACGTCAGCACTGGGAAGTCCACTCTTCTAGGGTCTATGTTTGGAGTGCATAAACTTTGTTGTTGTGAGAAAAAGGTTATATATTTCTAATTAACTAAACTATTCATTAAAGGTGAGGTGACGAGTGGCTGCCCGTCGCCCTGCCTGAAAAAGAACGTTGCCATGGGTTACGTGGACTCTGCCTTCTCCAAGAACGGGACCCAGATCCAAGTGGAGGTGCGAAAGAAGGCGATACCAGCCACAATCAGCAAAATGCCCTTCGTGCCGACAAACTACTACAGTGGTTAAAACTCAACGTTCATCAACTGTGAAATTAACTTTGTACTTTTAAATATTTCATATTGAGTTAATCTATTTTCAATTGTTTCTATGTATAATATAGATTTTAAGGAGGGTCGTGATGCTGTTTAAGGACCTGTATTTTGAATTAAACATTTTAGTTCAGCACTAATGTAAGATGTTAACTATTGAATTTCTGTGAAAATATATAATGGCTATATTTTGTTCTTGAGAGAAAGTGTATAGCTCAGGTTGTCAATGGAGACCAAAACACAGGCATTCCAATTCCAAAAACCACCGGCAACAAAACAGTATTATGTCAGAAAATGTTTTAACAACTGTGAATTAATTATATTTTGTATTTGAAAACTTGATGTTTACATGCACTAATGAACACTTGTGATTAGTAAGACATAGTGTGCCTTACGAATCATGTACTAATTTTAAATATTCCAAGTACATTTGTGATTTTTTTTAAATAAATTATCTGCAATTATGGTGCTTAAATCTTACACGTTGCATTTTTACTATATTCTAAAAAAATACATATTTTCAATCAATTTCTCACTCATTTTGAACAGTTTTATGTTCGGAGCTCAGTAGTGCAGTTTCTGTGTCCTCAGTGCAAAGTATATGTATGACCCTTCACCGTTTTTAGCTGTTTAAGTTCAGTCTTTTAAGTAATTATGCATTTAATTAAGTTATCGTTATTGTAGTTATAATGTACAGTTTGAATATATACAGTCTGTACAGTTTTGCTCGTACATACATGGGACAATACAACAAAATACCACTAGATGGCGACAACTACACTTTGCAAAGACTCCTAAGAGCAAACCCACGAAGAAGCGCGTGCAGACCGGAGGAAGATGGTTCACTCCGCGGCGACAGCGTGCTCCAAACTCCGACCAAAACACTGCCCAAACCTCTCTTTATCTCAGCCTGGAATCCGATACAGACATCCCGGGGACAACCACAGATAATACAGCGTTGTGTCGGTGGGCTGAACGAGTTTGACCTCAACTGGAAACTTAACTTTGAGGATAAGCGACAAGAAAGAGCGTTGAAGAAGAGTTTGGGAGTTAGCTCACTGCTAGCAACAACAAGCTAGCCACAGTCCGCGCTGAAGAATTTGTGTTTGTGTGGACTTTCCCGGACTATTTTATGGTTGAAATCACGGAGACCGATTGGCTGCTCATTGCTGTCTCATTCTTAGCAGCTGTCAGTATAAAAAGGGACTGAATCACCCTGATAAACTGTATATATTTGGCATAGCTTCACGTGTGACAAGATGCCGCGGAGTAAAAAGGGCAAGCGAGGTCCAGGCAAACCAGGTAAGCACACAGTCTAAATAAAAATAAAATTATTCCCTGACTATTTAAACTTCTGTTGTATTGCTTTTATGGTAAGTATAATTCATGTATGGAATAATGAAACGATAAGTATCTAGAATTGTGCCAGCTGTGTAACAAAAGTAAATATTTAAGATTACTATAAGATAACAATTTGGACGCTTCCTAAAACTTCCCATTGAGTCTACATTAAAGCCTAGATTATTTTTAAACATGTATACACTAGTTTAAACTTTTTAGGGGCTTAGTATTATGTTGGGTTATTTTTAGCAAATGGGTCACGCCTTATGGTCCTGCCCTGACCAACTAGATCATGGAGATAGTTTTGACAGGGGTTTGACTTGTGGTAAAATAACAAGACATTTAGCAGGTTTTATGGAGCTATTGTGCTGTAGTTGGTGGTTTTGACAGCCCTCCACATGGCTTAATCCCAGGCAGTGTGCACCTCACGTTTTTTCTGTGGGGGAGGGAGCGCTGTGCACGTGGATCGAGATAGGACCTTTTACACACAGGTCAGCGAGAGTATTTACAGCACTCCAGTGGGAATATGTATACTGTATATACTCACACTGACTTCAGCTGCTTTACTTCCATTACATCACAAGGAGATGATGTGTTGTAATGGTAGAACTGTGTTGTAATTGTCTAATGGGTCTATATTTGGAAGCATGGACTGGGAATGGCCCACAAGTGAATCACAAATGGTTTATAAATATGTCCTGGATCAACAATCAATGTCTCAGCATGCGATATTAGCGCAACTGTTGAAATACACTTCGTTCATGATTATGGTTGCCTTTATCCATAACTCTCCAAGCTTCTGCAGAGTTTTTGTAAGCTATACAAAGGTGCTGGACTTTGTTAAACAATTCACCACAACTTAATTAATCGATTATCTGAATAGTCACAATTGCTAAAAAGTCAACTTTTTTAATAATGGAAATATGTGTAATATTTTTCATCCCATGAAGAGGTTTTATGATTGGGACCTCTAAATACTGCAGACTTTGTTTTCCTAACTCAAAGAATTAATGTGTTTAAACTTGTCTGCTATAAAAACGAATCAATTATCAGACTAAAGACCTATTATATAAAGAATATACAAATAAAATGAATACAATCATTACAATGTGTGTTATGCGACAGGATTAAGACGCTGTCAACATTCATCATGTTTTGGTCTAATCCGTATCTCCCTAAACCCATCATTCCCTCAACAAACAGGCTCAGAGCTTTTTGTGAAAACAAGACATTTCAACATCTACAATGATTGAAGAAAGCCATTTGCCACAGGCACAGATATGTACTTTAGGGTTGTAATCACAACTAATTTGGTAATCGTTTGTTCTTTGGGTTAATGAATAACTTGTTCCCGCCCGAGCCTGATCAATAGCCTCGTGATACTGCGATACGTGGCTTCTACTCTGTCCTGTTAACACATCTCTCAGATCGTTCACACTTAGGCCACAATGATCTGATCACTAGTTTCATTTAGACCCGCAGTTGAATAAAATCATAGTATTATTGTTATTGTATTTAGTATTATTGGTTTTAGTGTTGTTGATAATAATAAATGATAATAGTTTAAATGGGGAAAAGTGTTTTAACAATCACGCAAAAGTAAAGTCACTAGCAATCAATTGATTCTGGGATAGAAGAACTCTACATGCTGTATTTGATATAGTTTATAATATGGACCTGATGATTTCTCTCTTCATCATCCATTCCATTCTCTTCTCCCTTCATCTCCCTTCATTTTACCCTCTTCATTCCACTATCGCCCACATCTCTCGGGATCATTCACACTTTCAGGCTGTCTTCGTCAGGAGGTGCTCCAGCTGCAGCTCTGTAAAGGTAAACCCAGGTTAACGGTTCTTCTCAGTAGAATTTACATTTCTTAACAAGAGAGTGTGTTCCAAAGACACCTACTTTGTACTAATGGCTGAAGCCGGACTCACTTCACTGCTACATTTTGAACTGGTGTTTTGTGTTGGCTGCTTTTGAAGAAAATGAAAAAGATCTTGTTGACCTCACTAATACAATGTAGGGTCCCTCCCACACTTCCCTGCAGACTTGGATCTAATGCACTGTAATACTGCTGTACACTGGTCATGTCTGAGTGGGTTACACACAGTGGGAAGTGTAGGAGAGAAGTGCAATCTGTGCTGCACTGTTATTTACCAGCTTTGACTTTACACAAACCCTTATTGAAATGTCAAAACAATGAGAAAGGATAGTTGCTAAAGTTGGGACAAAGATGTTTCTGAACAACCAGTTATTTTAAAATGAATGATTTGAGATATGTCGAGTCATTTAGTATTGTATAGATTCATAGCAAACACATAATCTGAAGGCCTGGAATCAGAAAAGGCCAGTTGTATCTGCCAAGCTCTTACTTCTGTTTACATCATAGTTATGTATGCGTTTGAGTTTCCATGGAGAAAATTATGTTGGTGCCACTGTCCATTCCGTTTTTGTAGATTGATCAAGTGTTGAATTGAACATTGCTGTAGTTTCCACTTCTTTTATAAACTACTGCGTCTGTAGAAGGCTCTCTCTTCTTCACTGTGAGTCCTTTTCTCTTTTTTCCCACTGGGTTGTGAATTGTCTTGTTGTCTATGTACAGTCTGACTGCCCAGGGGTTCAAGCGAGAACCAATCGTTCCCATAGTTTAGGGCTGGAATTTAGATTATATTGATAATTAATTAGTTGTAAAAGATTAATTATCTTCCCATTCTGCATTTTTATAATTATCTGTCATTAAACCTCTTCATGTTCAAGTCTATGTAAGGTTCAACTATTTAAATACTCTATTACCTTTGTCACTGCCCTGATAGGTCAGCCTCCTCTTGTTGAAGGAGATGTTCAGGGACATTTATCCATTTTCGCAAATCCTGTAAACATTGGCTAATCTGTCCCAATGCGGGCCAAATGTGCTGTTATTCTGATTTTCTAATCTGCCATTAGCAAGTCAGCCATTTTTTTAGGTCCTCAGGTTAATGGACATATTATGACATATTAATTGTTGCCTTCAGTAAAATCTTTTCTGCCTGCACTTTTGAACTCAGCGTTGGCACTGGTGTGAGATGTGGCCTCCGCTTGACCCAAACTGACCTCTTTGACACAATCCCGTCCAGAACAAGCAGCTATTCCGAAACTGAACAATGAGTGGAACAACATTATAGTATTGTTGAATTTGGAACTTCTACTGTCTGCTGCTGTGACATGCTTTTAGCGTTTTATTATTTTCAATATATTTTCTAACGAGGAAAAACTGCATCAGTCATTTTACAGCCACAAAGGGGAGATACTGTATGGACTATATTAAAAAGGAAATTATCATTCACAAAATGTGGGCTAATGCAGCGGGATGTGTGGGTGGTGGCATTAATCAAAGGCCTGTTGTAAATGGTCATTGAAACTCCCTTGGTGCACTGTTGTCTGAGTGGAAAACATGAGTCATATTTGTGAATGTTGCTGTAACAATAGACTTGTTTGTGAGTCGGTTTAAACAAACAGGATTAACACTAGACACATTTCAATTATCATTAATTATCTATTTGACAGTTCATATGAGGAAACCCATTATCAAGACATTGTTTTGTAGGTTAGTTATTGGTCAGCATAACATTAGCAGCTTATGTTCTTTGAGTCCTATTTACAAAAGAATAAAAATCTTATTACCGGTAATTACTGCTGTTTTTGAAACACTACTAATATCACTATTTTAATCAATGTTTTCAGAACACCTGCTTTTTCTCTGTATATTTAATTTCACTGTTTTGTGCTTTTCATTTTATGTTTTTAGAGGTTTTGGAGTTGTTGACCAGTGTGTAAAGTATACATTTGTCATTTTCAGGACTAAAGAACGGTGTGAAGGTTGAATCTTGTGCCAGTGACGATGAGCTGGCGTCTGAGATCCTGAGCCACTGCAGCAGCCCCAGCGATGGGGCCTCGGTCATAGAGGAGCCCACAGGTTTGTGCTGAGCTAAGATCTTAGTTCTGATTAATCGCTTACACACACATGATGATTAAATATGATATTAGCACATAAATGTACCAAGCCATGATATTGTAACTTTTGTCAACATAGAAATCTGGATTTTGTTAATACCTGGACTTTTTGTTTAGGTAATGACACTGTAGATGAACTAACGGCTCAAGAGGAGACTGAAGACAAACTTAAACAGTGCATAGACAACTTAATGGAGAAGAGGTGGGCCTTCAAAGACTTTCTCTTACAAGCGAAAGTTCTTTCACTTCATCATTCACCTTATGATCTTCATTGCAGTTCTAAAACTCGCCTGGCAGCGCTGGAGTCCCTGAGACAAGTTTTCTCCTCCAGATTATTGTATGAGTTTTTGACAGAACGGCGACTCACTGTCAGCGACTGCCTCGAGAGAATTCTCAGAAAAGGTCTGTTGATTCAAACATTTAAGCCAAATAGATATGTGTCTACACCTTTGCTCCTCAGACTGCCTTTAGTGTGTGAGGGAGGTCTTTGAAGTCGCACATGTGAAACCATGTGTTCGATTGGGAATAGGAATGCAGTTTGCTCTGGCAGTCGGTCAGAATAGAATCCTAATGGAAAGAATTCAGAGCAACACTGCAGCCAGTTCTCTATGTACAGTCTGACTGCCCAGGGGTTCAAGCGAGAACCAATCGTTCCCATAGTTTAGGGCTGGAATTTAGATTATATTGATAATTAATTAGTTGTAAAAGATTAATTATCTTCCCATTCTGCATTTTTATAATTATCTGTCATTAAACCTCTTCATGTTCAAGTCTATGTAAGGTTCAACTATTTAAATACTCTATTACCTTTGTCACTGCCCTGATAGGTCAGCCTCCACAGCAATGTCTGTAGTTAGTGCTTTGACTGGTTCGGAATAAACTACAAATCACACAAAATAGATAACTTTTAAATGTAATTTGAAACAGTTTTGTTAAAGGTGCACTGTGTAGTTTTTACTCCCATCTAGCGTTTAGATCCTATATTGCAAGTCTACTTCTACCACCAACACAACGGGAGCTTTCGAGAACCATAATTCATGTTTGACATTGGTCCCCAACACGCGGACATGTAAACATAGTCTGCTGATTTTTGTTGTATTTCAGCGCCCGAAACTTAACTTCCTACTGTAATGTTTGTTCCAGGAGGAGGTGAGGAGCAGGCAGCAGCGGCCACACTGTTCTGCCTGTTGTGTATCCAGCTGGGAGGAGGAGACGAGGCGGCGGAGGGCTTCAAAATCCTTAGACCTGTTCTCACCAATATCCTCAATGATACAGGAGCCAGCCTCAACGCCAGGCAGAGTGTGAGCACAACAATCAGAAACTATCTGACAAACACATGTTGAAATACTGAATGTAATGTTGTCTTTGTAGTGCGCCAGAGCTTTGGGAATGTGCTGCTATGTTTCTGCTGCTGAAGACGGAGAGGTAAACCGTGGCGCACAAGGGGGACTTACACAACAAAAGCCGGCGTCTGAATCCATCCTTTTTGTTCCCAGGACCTGATCCAGTCCCTGTCTCTGCTGGAGGGGGTCTTTGTGGCGTCTTATCCCAACAGGGAGGGGGTCCTGCCCACTATGAAGCCCGGGACTCCGGCTCTACACGCAGTGGCTCTTCAGGCCTGGGCGCTTCTCCTCACACTGTGTCCTACCTCCAAAATCAATTCACTACTGGATATGTGAGTTTCATGGTGCCATGACTATATTATTTCACTTAGTCTGGAATGTCTTATACTTATCCAAGCTTCATTCATGCAATTAAAGCTCGGGCACTTTTTTGTTTCAAAAGTTCTACATGTTTGTCTCAACAAAAAAGAGTCTTGTGAAATTAATAATATTGTGAACAAATCAGACCATGTTAATTTTATTCAAAACATTTGAACGTGTTCTCTTGCATACTGTCCGAAAAGATAATCTGAAAATGTAACGGGTCAAAAAATACTTGCATTTGAAAAACTATTTTGGTTTGAAAGTTTCTGACCCTAAATACCATGTAATAATATGCATCCTCGGCAACTTGGCCTGTTTGGGCGACAGGGTGGCTGAGTGGATAGCACTCCTGCTTCTCAGCAAGAAGGTCCTGGGTTCGAATCCTGGTCGGAACAGGGCCTTTCTGAGTGGAGTTTGCATGTTCTCCCTGTGTCTGCGTCTGGCATGTGCCTCCTGTACTGGCGACCCCACTCCCATCTCTGTGGAGTAAGAGACAAATGCCCACAGTTGTAAACCGCTTTGTGACTGGTCTGTGAAAGGCGCTATATGAATAAAGATTACTTACTTACTTTCTCACTTCATACCACAGATACCTGGGCCTTTTTCATTCACAAAAATATAGATTCAGTTATGTTTAAGAAAACTGCAAAGTCATTCTCCAGAGGCCAGCTGATAGAGCCACTCTTTAATAATGTGATTGTGATGTTAAACATGAGAGCTGGATGTTTGATTGTGTTTTGTCTTTTCAAAGCCACATGTCCAAACTGCAGTGCTGCCTTCAAAGCCCAGACGTGAACTACCGGATCGCAGTCGGAGAAACGATAGCTCTCATGGTTGAACTCGGACGAGACATTGATGAGGTAAGAAACGTCAAACCCAAACTTTAAATAACGATTACAAAAAGGTTACAAGATGTTCATCACATTTACAAATCTTCCTTCACTAAGTCTTGAATGTCACTTGACCATAATATTTACAGAACCTGCCTTTAAAGCATGTCGGTAAATAGTCTTTTTGCCTCGCAGGAGTTTGAGGTGGAGGACGGGGAAAGTTTGTGTGAATCTTTGAAAAGTTTAGCCACCGACGGAAACAAGCACAGAGCCAAAAACGACCGCCGGAAACAGCGCTCCATATTCCGAGAAGTGCTCCACTATTTAGAGGCATGTTTCGCGTTTCTTTACAAAGTGTCACTGTTCAGATTTGTGACTTAATTTTTTCCAATGCCTAATTTTCGCAGAACGAGGATTTCACAGATGAAAAAATCCGGTTTGGAATAGAGAAAATTTACATCGATAGCTGGACGAGAAGACGAATCTATGACGCTTTCAAAGAAATACTGGTGTCAGGAGTTAACCACCACTTACAGGTAAAACATGTGTTCAAACAAATAAATGTACGGATAAAAATGTGCACAAAACACAATTTTAAAGAGGTAAACATATAAAGTAAAGTAAAATTCCCAATTCCATAGCCCCATAGAAGTTTCAAAAAATCTAAAAAAGGTGGAAGACACGACATGGCAAAGCGCAAAACTTTCAGTCAGAAAATAACTAAATCGTTTGCTTAATGATAAGTAGGTAGGTCATGTTTATTTATATAGCGCATTTAACAGACCAAGGTCACCCAAAGTGCTGTACAATGTTCAGATATTGTTCGTTCTCTCCACACGGTGATGATGGAAGCCAGACGTTGAATGTTGTGAGTTAACACTACATTCAGACCTATTGTACATGTTTTCAATGGTAGGGGAAACCGAAGCCCCCGGAGGAAACCTATGCAGACATGGGGAGAACAACTCTAACCGCTACGCCAACTTTTATGATTATAGTTTTAGATATCCCTATGAGGATTTGAGTGAGCTTTATTTAGTTGCTAGAGTGGTTTTTTTAATAAGCATTTACAACTATTTTAAATTTGAATGTGTTTTATTTGCATTTTTAGTTCAACCCTCTCCTGAGAGACATTTTTGGCCTCAGACCTCCGCTGATTACCGATATTGCTGTTACCGTCAAAGTATCACGTCTTGAAAAGGTGAGTACTACAATTGCATTTTTCTGGATGGTGATGTCTCAGTAATAAGTTCTGTAATTTAGTTTTTACTATTTCTTCTTTTTAATTAAATATTTTTTTGTTTCTGTTTTTTTAGCGTCTGGTCAACGCTGCTGCCTTCAAAGCACGGACGAAACTGAGGAGCAGAGTGAGGGACAAACGCGCCGATGTGATGTGACCAGGAAACACTGTTATTCTCAAACTCTCGACAAAAAAGGAAATGAAGCCTCTCAACTCTTGACAGTCTTTGTCAAACCCAAAATGGCCACTTCTCTGCATCATGCCTTACTCACACATCACACTGCCTTCAAAATCAAACCATAGAACGGACCAAGGTTTTAACAAAATGATAATATTCAACATCTAAGGGGTTCAGTCTCAAACTATTGAACGTCCAGACCTGTGCTTTCTCACTGAAGGTTCATTGTTCATATGAGATCACGTTTCTATGGATGGCGCCATTGTTCTGTTTAAATGGCGCTGAACCGGTCTGGGCCATTTTAGATTTAAAATAAAATAAAACATTTGATCATGTTCTTTTGTTGAGCCGTCGTAGAATTGCATCGCTGTGACTTTCATGTAAAGTCATTTTATACAGTAAGGGGAATGTAGATTGGACACATTTTTACGACTATCTGACCCGTGGCCTTCCTGTCTCTTCTATCATGTAATAGAAAACTCTGCTTTACATATCTCGAGCATGAAGTTATTTTATTTTAATCATGCTTTTGTAACACAACCTTTTAGAAATGTATTTTTCTAAACCTTTAAATTCTGAGGTAAATCCGTTCAGTTACTACATAGCTTTATCAGTTTTGCCTTTGACAAAGACCTGGATCTCCGCTCCTCGTGTCTTCATCTGCCAAAAATTGCTGTGCAAAAGTTTATTTAACTTTTTTAATGAAAATTATCTGTAGAGAACTCCCCAATGGGTTAATGGAGCGAATGTATTTTTACTCTAATGAATTCATGAGCAAAGATATCCCGTTTTAACGTGTGTTTTACTCCTAATTTATTAACTTTTGGATGGTGCTGTGGTGCTGTTCCCGATGGACAGACCTGTGTGCAACTTGAATAAATAAAAAAGGAAGTACACCTGTTCTACTCTCGTGTGGATTATTTGTTGACGTTCTGATTGCATAAGAGTAAAAGTAACTTTAATCCTACTGTGCAAAAGTGAGTTTGGATTAAACATGAAGTAGACTTGTGTTTTTACAGTGTGTAATCAGTGCTTTGGGTTGAGTGTAACATGAATGAATACCACCATCTAGCGGCGTTTCATTTCAATTACAACAATATTCTAAGTGGTACAGTCCAACATGGACGATCTCGCACCGCGACCAGGGCTCCATAAGGGTTCATAAAACTTGAGATAAACATTTGAAAGAATCTGACTTCTTAATAGCGGCGAATGTAATCGACTATTTGAATATAGTAACGTCCGTTCAGAAGAAAGAAGATGAGTACTCATGGTAAACGAGCAGGTTTCTTGCAAGAGCCTTGATCAGAGTGGCACATTGTGTTGAAGATACAGAATGGACCCGGGCGTGCTCACGGGACGGTTCTCGGAGCTGAGTGCGCTCGCGCTCCCGGTTCGAGCTCACGTGAAGGAGCAGGACCACAGCGGACAGACGCTCTACGAAGTCTACACCGGTGAGAGACTATAGCTTTGTCCAACACTCATGTGGGGGGAGGAACAGGGTGAAATTGATATAATTGTAGTAATAAAATAATTGTTCCGAACGAGTGACACATTCGAACATTTGCCAGTGAGATAAGAGGGAGTGCAGAAACAGTTTTAATGGACGTTTATTTTGGCTGTGATGGAATCCTCTCCCATGTTGTGCAGAGTGGACTCAGACTGAGCTGGTCCGAGGCTCCAGACTCGCCTTCTGTCAGAGGTGGTCTTTGATCATAGAAGAGAAGCACAGAATCCAGTGCCTCCACCCCCCAGGACCTGCTGTTCCTCTGGCCACAGAGTGAGTGCAAATATGTTCATAATCATCATTATTATTTTATATATATATCAAAGAATGAGAGGATTTTGAAAGGGAATAATGTTGGCATGTTATTACAGCTGCAAGAATGAACAATTATTAGCAGTTATCAGGATAATTATCCAGATACCTCTTCACACCGGAGTTATCTGGAAAAGAGGCCGGGTCTCTTTTGAGGATATAATAATTCAAATATACCTTGAGCCAACTTGGATTGTATATTGTGTTTTGAGAAATTGTGTTTCTTCTTCCTCAGATGTCTCAGCTCATTCTCTCCAATTCAGGGCCTTAGAGCCGTAATCAAAGAAATGAGTGGACACTTCCTTCTCGAGGTAACAGAATTATAATAGTAATAAGAAATCTTTTCCCCCCCCCCCCCCCCCCCCCCCCGAGCATTCCCAGGTCAGACGGAAATCTCACAAAATCTCTCGAGATCAAGCGTGACTTCAGAGTAAACAGTCATGGCGGACGAAGAGGATGCAGAGTGGCGATAGTGTGCAGTTTGTTGTTAACAGAGAAGACACGTAATCCAAAGAAAAGGCAATGGTCAAAGCCATGCTGCTGTGTTTTGGTTTTTTTCCGGTGTTTCCTCACCGGCTTGTCACCTCGTCTTCTTATTGGCTACACGCCGTAGTCATGGCAACGCGCTCGCTTGTCCTCGGAGGACACCACACACGACGAGAAATCGGGCCAAAACAATCCAACATGTTGGATATCCCCGATTTGAGATCGGGAGCAGTCCCGATGGCCTTCCGAGCGACGAGTGCAGTCTTAACACACCACACACGGCAGGATAATCTGTAAGATTTTGTTACGGAAATTGGAGCGTTTCTTAAGATTGTCGTAAGGGGTAAATCGGGTCTAAATCGGCCTAAATATCCTGCCGTGTGAACCAGGCTTTACTCACAATTCCTGAGTTCCCCTCACGACACCGACACGTGTCAGATTGGAAGTAGATGAAAGACAACAGACAAACTGACATTGGATTTGCTTTATTTCACCAAATGAACACAGTTAAGCCCTAAATCCATAAGAAACTATAAGTAGTAAATTCATGGCCACAAAAGCTTTGCAGGAATTTTGAAGATTGTAAATGTATAAGCACCCTTGTTTTAAGAAACTACCTATCTCCTTGTGGAATTCTCATGAGTCTGGTGTGTGTGTGAATGGTTGGTGGTGGTCAGAGGGGCCAATGGCACTTGTTGGTTGCCTCGCTTCTGTCAGCCCCAGGGCAGGTGTGACTACAGCAGTAATTTATCACCACTGTGTTTGGAGTAAAATAATGACATTTGAAGTGTTTTTGAGTGTCCGGAAAAGCGCTATTTAAAACCGGTGCATTATTATTATTATTATTATATCAAAACAATGAAAGTTTATCATGAATGAGCAAAGAGAATCCGGGTAATTTTGTTGCTGTAGTTGTCTGCGCATATGTGTCACCGGTTCATCATGAACGCTCCGATTTTGGGAAATTGGGAGATTATATAGAAATCTCTTGAGTGTGGCATTAAACCACAGAAGGCATGTTACGTTTAGATAGATACATAAATAGATTGATTCTTTATTGATCTCTTGCAGGAGAAATTCAGGTGTCCAGAAACACATAAGTACATACATTAACTAACGGACATATAAGCACATGTTCAACACATTTTCACATATATATATTATATATATATATGAAAGATATAATCAGAAGCCAGTCCATCCAGAACCCTGAGATACTGTAGGTGGCTGTGCAAAAAAGCACAAGGCAAGACATTTGCTCCAGTAACTTTGTCAACATTAACATTATTTTGGTATGACATGAAATTAAGCTTGGAAAGGCAGACGAGGATGTGCTGCTGTTTTGTTCACAGATTTAGACCTAGGCAAGGCAAGGCAAGGCAAGGCAAGTTTATTTGTATAGCACAATTCATACACAAGGCAACTCAAAGTGCTGAACAAGATAGCATTAAAATCATAAATAATTACAGAACATTAAAACGAAAGATAAAAATATAAAATCCCTCAGTTGTATGCACAGCTAAACAGCACCGTTTTTAACCTGGTTTTAAACATTGTCAGAGAGGAGGCCTGTCTCACATCTTCAGGAAGATTGTTCCAGATTTTAGCAGCATGAATCTGAAAAGCAGCCTCCCCATGTTTAGTTCTGACTCTGGGCACTAACAGGAGTCCAGTCCCTGTGCTCCTCAGAGTCCGGGCTGGTTCATATGGGACTAACATGTCACTAATATATTTTGGTGCGAGGCCATGGAGAGATTTGTACACAAGCAGAGCTGTTTTAAAAGTCTATTCTCTGAGCCACAGGAAGCCAGTGCAGGGACCTGAGGACCGGACTAATGTGGTCGTACTTCCTGGTTCTAGTCAGGACTCGAGCTGCTGCATTTTGAATGTACTGCAGCTGTTTTACAGCCTGTTTGGACAGACCTGTGAGCAGGCCATTGCAGTAGTCTAACCTACTGGAGACAAACGCATGGATAAGAATCTCCAAGTCTGCTTTAGACACTATGTTTTTGATCCTGGCAATGTTTTTTAGATGGTAAAAAGCTGCTGATGTTACTGATTTGATGTGGCTATTAAAATTTAAGTCTGAGTCCAGTATTACCCCTAGATTTCTGACCTTGTTAGAAGGTTTTAGGGAGAGAGACTGTAGGTGACAGATGACGCTCTCTCTTTGTTTCTGGGGACCAAAGACAATCATTTCAGTTTTGTCTGCGTTTAGCTGAAGGAAGTTGTTTTGCATCCACTCACTGATCTGTTGGATACAGTGAAGGAGTGAGTCCACTGGTCCATGTTCTCCTGCAGTCAGTGAGACATAGATCTGAGTGTCGTCTGCATAGTTATGATAGGAAACTTTGTTTCTGCGTATTAACTGACCTAACGGCAGCATGTAGAGATTGAACAGAAGAGGTCCCAGGATCGACCCCTGTGGTACTCCACAGGTCAGGGCCATATGATCTGAGACACAGTTTCCAATCTCCACAAAGTACTTCCTGTCTTCAAGGTAAGACCTAAACCAACTTAGGGCGGTGCCAGCGACGCCAACCCAGTCCTCTAGTCTCTGTAAGAGGATCTCATGGTCGACAGTATCAAAGGCAGCACTTAGATCTAACAGGATTAGGATTGAGACTTTGCCTGCGTCAGTGTTCAGCCGGATATCGTTTGTAACCTTAACGAGAGCAGTCTCAGTGCTGTGGTGGGGTCTAAAGCCGGACTGAAACATATCAAATGAGTTGTTGATTATAAGAAATCTAGTAAGCTGTAGGTAGACAACTTTCTCAAGGACTTTCCCCATAAATGGCAGATTTGAGATGGGACGATAGTTGTTAAGTACCGTAGCATCCAGACTGCTCTTTTTTAGCAGGGGCCTGATGACTGCAGTTTTCAGGGCCTTTGGGAATATTCCAGAATCAAGGGACATGTTTACTATCTGTGTGAGTGAAGGTAACAGACTGCTCAGAACAGACTTTAGAAATCTAGTGGGTAGTACATCCAGGCTGCATGTGGAGGAGCTCAAACTGGAGATTATCTCTTGGACAGTTTGATCATTTACAGGTGCAAAGTAAGTTAGCTCAAAGAGCCTTTCTGGCTGTTGGATTGTTATCTGTGGATTGGAGACAATGGCGTTTTTGATGCCTTGAACCTTGTCATTGAAAAAATGTGCAAACTCATTACATTTACGTTTGGAAGTTAGCTCTAATGGCATTTGAACAGGGGGGTTTGTTAATCTATTAACTGTTGAAAACAGAACACGCAGATTGTTGCTGCAGCCTTCAATCATTTCAGAAAAATACCTTTCTCTTGTACTACGTAGCACCTGGTTAAACTCGCACAACTTATCTTTGAAGATCTTGTAATCAACCTGGAGGTTGGACTTGCGCCACTTCCGCTCGGCCCTCCGGCACTCTCTCTTTTGTGCTCTGACCGAGTCTGCTTTAGCCCACGGCGCCTTCTGCTTATTTTTCACTATTTTAACCTTCACAGGAGCGATGGTGTCCAGAACTTTCAAAACACTAGAGGTGACAGAGTTAAACAGTTCATCTACAGTAGAATACGATGCATTCTCAAAGTTTATCATTCCCATAAATAGTTCACCCGTATTTTCATTTATGTGTCTTCTTCGTACAGTTGCAGAGTCCACTGGTGGTTTGTTAGTGAAACACATGTCAAAAAATATACAAAAATGATCCGAAAGCGCAACATCGACCACGTTTACATTATATATGTTCGCCCCCTTTGTAACTAACAGGTCTAGAGTGTGCCCTTTGCTGTGGGTGGGGCCACTCACATGCTGAGTGAGACCAAAAGATTCAAGAAGAGAACTCAGCTCTTTAGCATTTCTGTCATCAACATTATCCACATGAATATTAAAATCACCTGTAATAACTAAACTATCAAAATCTGTGCATACAACTGAAAGCAACTCTGTAAAATTATCAATAAAACTGTGACATGACTGCGGTGGCTTGTATAGGACAACGAAAAGTATTGGAGGAGATTGTTTTTGTTGTATTTTAAAAGACACATATTCAAAAGACGGAAACTTCCCAAGAGACATTCTATGGGAGACAAAGTGGTCTCTGAAAATGGCAGCTAAGCCTCCTCCTTTTTTGTTTTCCCGTATTTCAGATTCAAATTTGAAATTTGGTGGTGATGCTTCTATTAAAACTGCATTTTCTGTATTTTGGTCAAGCCATGTTTCAGCCATGAACATAAGATCTAGATTATAAGAACAAATAAAATTATTGATTAAAAAAGACTTGTTACAAAGAGATCTGACATTTAGCATAGCAAGTTTCAAAGTTTCAGGATCAGCGGTTGTGGTCGGCTGATTCTTACACGGAACAAGAATTAGATTTTCCTGATTAGACTGATTAACTCCAGATGTTTTTCTGTTATGTATTCTTTGTGTTATCACTAAGGGAATGGCACAGGTGGCTTCACGACAGGGCCCCAGCTCTACACAAAATTTACAAGTACAAGCCCTACAATCTTATTTTCTGAATGCCAAACTTTTCATGTGTGAAATTGAATATTTAAAAACCAGCACACGTTCTCAGCTGGACATCCACTGAGAGTTCGTCTCTCCCGTTCAGGGAAAGAGAACAGAGGATTGGGGTTAAATTTGAGGGCACATATTTCCACAGAGAAGAGTCCACATTAGTCACTGTCCACACTGTGCTGAAGCAGGATGATCCAGGCTAATGCCCTGCCCACACTTCTGCTGACTGCGAAATACTGCACTAAACTCAGGGGCAACGGCAGGAAACGTGTGCAATCCTGCGTCGAATGTGGAGGAGGAGTGGAGTGGAGCATCCGGGGTTACTCTCCAACAAATACGTGA